TTTTAAAATTTTTCATTCACCAATCTTTCAATTCTTTCTATGGAGATATGATATAATTTTCTATACCACAACATATAGGAATTCTCATTAATTTTGCTCCTTTTTAATATTAGTATCATACGTTGATTAATAGTTAAGCTGAAAAATAGAGCTTGGATCAATTTTATTTAGACCATCAATTAATGTTTCATTACGAATAAAAAATTTATATTTCACAATGCTAAAAATGTTTCCATTAAACAAAAGTCCATAGCCAACATTATAAAATTTGGATGCATAAATCAAATTGCTAAAAGATAGATCTAAAAGAATATTAAAAATGTCCGAAAGGGCCTATTTACATTGAAAAAGTTTTAGAAAGATTTAAGATGTCAAATCAAAAGTGTTTTAAACTTTACCATTCATCAATTTTTTAATTATTTTAATTGAGATATGACATAATCTTCTATACTACAACATATAGAAATTCTCATTAATTTTGTTCCTTTTAATATCATATCAACACGCATTGCTTAAGAGTTAATTTGAAAAATAGGGTCTAGATCAGTTTTATATAAATTATCAATTAATATTTCACTATTAATAAAAATTTTAATATTTCATAATGCTAAAAATGTTTCCATTAGACAAAACTCCATAGCCAACATTACAAAGTTTGGATACTAAAATTAAATTTCTAAAAGAAAGATCTAAAAGAATATTAGAATTGTCTCAAAATGCCTATTTACATTAAAAAGGTTTTAGAAAGATTTAAGATGTCAAACTATACAACTTAAGTAACATTTATTATCAAAAGGCACAAATTTAAGCAAGATCAATATCCATAAAATGCATTAGAAAATGAGAGGACGAGTAAAATTCCCTATGCATATGCAATACAAAGTTTGATCCATGCATAAGTCTGCTTAAGACATGAGTTGACATTTGCAATAGAAATGTGAGAAAGGTTCCAAAATAATATTTAAAAAAACATTAGACTAAGAAATTCATAAGATATCTACAAGGAATCAAGGATTACAAACATACTAATCATCTTAAAGTAGTTGATTATTCATAATCGGATTTTGCTTTTGTGGACAAAAAAAGTTTACTTCACGCTACCATTTTCTTCTTGGTAGAAGAGCTATATTCTGAAAAAAGTATTAAGCAAATTATTATTGTTTTGTCGACCATAAAAACATAATTCATTGCACATATGCTACGAAGCAGAGATACAAAGTATCTTGTTAAAGAATTTTAATTTTTGGTCTATCAAGATTAATAAAAATTTATTATGATAACTCTGTTGTATTTCTCATCTATGAGTACTAAAAACAGAAACCAAAATAAACATATTAACATAAAATACCTTATTCTGTTACCTTCATTTGACTATTTCACTTTTATTCATTAAGTATGTGCCTAGCCCATCAATCGGATGGTAATGGCAACACATCGGATCTAACTGGGACTTTTGTCCATCCAGTTTTATCTGATGTATTCAAAAACCAAGACTCGTGATCGAGTTGGATATTCAAATTCAAGAGCAAATGGACGAAAGGCCCACTTAGATGCAATGTGTTGCCATTACCATCGCATGCTCCTCTCAATCACATCATTTTTTTTTCCTTCAAAAAAGTCGTAGCTACCCGTGCGTTCAGGTAACATCACTTTTTTTTTGCAAAGAATATCGAGAAAATGGAGAAAAACTCTCTAAATGATTCCTTAGTATAAATCAATTAAAAAAACCTTCGGCTAATAACAAATCATGTAGATTTTTTCTTTGACAGTGAAGAAATTTTATAGATTAGTTTATATGTCAACTGATTTTTTTTCTCTAAATAATTAAAAAAAACAAATCATACATTAAAAATTAATCAATTAACGTGTATTAACGATGATTAATTTATTTCAAGTGATTCAATTCATTTTTTGTGAATATTAGAGCATCATATAATTTCTGAGTTGCTATGATAGTATCTGAAGATGATGTAACTCAAGTTATTTAATTATTAAAATACATTTAAGTTAATTGGTTTTTAAATATTGAGAGACTAAAATAGAAAAATTGAGATGATGCATTTAATCGATACAATCAATTAACTGTTAAACACAATTAATCCCAGTTGTTAGAATAAATGAACAAAAGCTCATCTGCCAGAATATTATGATGGATTTATAAAGAAAGGATTCTTACCATCATGTGGGAGCCAGCTCATCTGGGAGACATTAAATGTCACAAAAGCTGCTCGATCAACTGTTTATTTATAAAAAAATTGCCGTTGGCATTTCAACGCATGATTTCAAAATTTGAATGATTGGATGCCTGCATCTTCCCTCTCTACGTTTCCACCATTTTGTCGTATTTTCTTTCTTTGGATTTCATTGAAACGGGATCTTGGCGAACACAGCCGTTCAACTACAAAAAGGAAAGAAAGAATTAAATATCAAATCATTCCTTTCTTTGTTAGGTATTGTATCAAATTATAAGGTTAACAATAAGAATATTTTTGTTTCTTTATTTATGGTAAATAATCAGCATAATCATATTAGAATTGTAAAAATTATCATATCTTTTAATATAAGAATTTGGTCCCTTTATTCTAAAAAAAAATTGATCTCTTTAGATTCAATTAAAATGTTGGCATTTTATTACAAACAACAAATCGGATTCGATTATATTTTCAAATAAATTTAACTTTAATTTGCTAAAAAATCCTATCCTTTGAACTCGGACAAACATATTGAACTTTTCGACTCAAACTATTTAAAATACTAAATATACATATAGAGAGACACTTTATAGTTATTTATACAGTAATATATATATATATTTATTTTTAATGTATTCTAAACTAATCATTTGTTGTTTAATATGACGTATAAGACAGATATAATTACTCAAAAAGCTTTTTACATATACAAATATTTAAAATTGAAATCACTTGTTTAAACGAGTAGAATTCCTTTCAATCAAATCAATCTTTTTAAATATATTAAAGTTATTTTTTATTATCAAATTACATATAATATATAATTTAAATATTTTTTTTTATAATGTCAATCTAGATTTATTTTTTTTAACAGCATTTTTAGAGAAATATTACCAACTTTTTTTAACCATTTCAAAGCTCTGCAATTTTTTTTTTAATCACTAAAAAAATTCATACTATCATCACCATACACTTATTCAGTGCTAATAACAAAACGGAGGAAAAGGTTCTTTTTACATTAAATTTCAGAAACTCCTTTGCCCTATAGAAATGGTCTCCCTAATTTCCTTTGCCAAAAAAGTCGTACTTCTAAAGAAATTTCGAGACAAAAAAAAAGAAAAAAGAAAAAAGGTTTGAATCTTTTACATATTTTTACTCTCTCGTGAAGCAACAAATCCAACCTGAAATCTTAAATGACGAAAAACACCCTCTAATTAAATTACAATCAAGCAATTAACAAGTGAACTCAAATGGCCAGCTTATAACTACCTAGGATCATTAAGTAATTTTACAATCAGTTTGATCCAGTCAAATTAAAATCAGCGATCCTCCGACTTAACTCTTTCAGTCAAACAGTCAACGACATTTTCTTAATATTTTTTCGAGCAAATAATTTTTTGTTAGTATAATAAACGAACACCAACGATAAATTATTACTCTCACTGTAAATGCCATTTGTTTTTCTGTGTGTTTTTTAAACCAAAACACTATCCCGCCCAGTCCTTCACAGAGTTGTTTTTCAATTCTCTCTTACATCCCCTGCTCTTGTTTTTTGAAGATATAGGACACAAATTCAGGTCTCTTCTTTTCAATCTTTACATTCACATTTGTGTATTTATATGCTGACATTTTCTCTACCATGCATATTACAACTGTGGTTGTGAACAGTTGTTGTTTTTGTTGTTCTCCGCTGTTCTTGTTTATATGTTTTTTGCTTTACTAGATCGATATGGGTTAAATGGGAGGTTTGTAATTTGTGGAATTTTGAAGGTTTTTGGACATGGGTTTTGGTTGAAATTGGCTTTTTTTTTTTTTGTAAGGAAATTTATAAATTTGTAGAATAAGAAATTGATATCTTTTCTTTAAATTATATTTATTTTTGGAAACAACCAAGGTGTAAAAATAAATAAAAATAAATAAAGAAAAGGAAGGAGAAGACAATGAGACCTATAATTTTTATTTTTGGAAACAAAGAGTTGAATTGTTCCTTGTCTGTGTGTCACAAGTTGGAATCTTGGAATTTGGATTCAGATATGAGATTGCTTAGTAGAATCTTGGGATTCAATTTTTTAAGGAAAAGGGGTTTGCTTTGCCTTTATTATCATGGTTGCCACTAAGATTTATATCCCAATTTTTAAGTAATGTATGTGAATTTTGTTGATTCTGTATCTTGGCGCTTGCAGTCTCAATCTTTTTTAGCTAAAGTTTTTCTTAAGAAGATAGAATTTTGGGTACATTTAGAATTTTCAACTTGAACTCTAGATGCATATCCATGACATTTGAATTGTTTAACGATCTTCTCACACAAGATTTCTCTACCCAACTGGAGTCTAACATTCTTTTTTACTTGATCTGTCAAGATCTGAAGGTTTTATGATCTTTGTGTGTAATTTGGCACTTTGTTTTATGTTTGATAAAGTGCTCAGGTTCAAATTGTAAAATTATGCCAGATTGTATTTTCTTTCTGGTAAGTAATGCTGTTTTTATTCACAAACGCGCACGAAATAGCATATTTTGTTTCCTTATGATAGTATCTATTTGGGGGAAATTTCCTGATTTATAAATTATTTTGATGCACATTTTCATAGTGAGCTTAAAGTATGAGTGGGGTTATTCTTTGATGTCTAGTTAGCATTGCTTGTAAGTTATTGCTCATAATTTCTAGATTATGTACGTGATTCTTCAATATGTAGAGTTTCCTGGCTTTTAATATTCTTATTGATTCCGCTGATTCTGTCATTTTATTGCAGGTTTCTTGCCTACTTTTTGTTTAATTCTTTGTGTTGTTCTTATTTACGGCTTGTAAATATGAAGAAGGAAAAAGTACTTCCTTCTGATTTTGGGTATATTAAAGGTCCAATAACACGAGCAGCTGCCTTGCGTGCTTCTGGGAAGATGCCACCTTTAAAGGCACCGGCAAAAGAAGACTGGAAAAGGATTTTGCGAGCAAATCCAAAAAGAGCAGCCTTAGATGAGAACAGCACCAGCGGACCTGATAATTCAGGGAATCAACGTAAGAAGAGAGCAGTGCTTCAGGATGTCACAAATGTTTGCTGTGAGAATTCATATACGAGTTGCTTCAGCGCAACCAAAATTCAGGTGGATGTGCTGTCCTTTTGTGTTTGTTCTGGACGTACTGGTGTACTAAATCAATCTTGTATGATGTGAAGGAAAAAGAAAAAAGAAAAAAAGAGGACATGTTAAGGAAAATATTTGGCTTTGCAAATGAAAAATTATACCTACTTTCTGACTTTTCTTTCATGATTATAACATAACGGTCTAAATGAGCAGGATATTGTTTATTATTTACTTGAAAATGTCTGCTACATTGCAACGTTTCCTGGTTTCTATTCCCCGTCTGTCATGAATTATTTTCTTTCTTTTTTCCTAATTCAAGAATCTTTACTTTCTTCCTGATTCTGCTGACCGTCAGGCTAAGATAGCCAAGCAGGCTAAAAAGCGTCACCTCAATGTGTCAAAAATTGCCCCTAGAGCTAATTCGAAGAAAAAAATTGTTTGTCAAGAAGTAAAACGGGAACCTTACTCTGAAGTTGTACATTCAAGTACTTCAGGAAAAGATGTACCTTCTCAGCCCAGTGGCATAAGGGAGTTTGGCACAGATGATCCTCAGCTTCCTAATCAGTGTTCGAGAATGCCTTCTCATCCCTATAATTCTCCAAAGAAAGGTTAGCTTCTCTTTAAACTCATTTGCTTTAAATATGGCAAATTTGATGGATAGCTGCATTCAAAACATGGTGAGAATTAAAAAAAAAAAGGTTGCTTCTTGGTTGAAAGTTTGTGTACTTCATGTCTTATTTAAACATCCATTGATGCAGTCCTCAAAATATGTAACATCGTGCTTGTTTATTTCTTTGAATCTTCTTCTATATAAACGAGATGCTTGCATAACAATAGAGTCAATGAAGTTAACCATGGTAGTGAAAAGGATGTTATGTGGTACTATTTTTAGTATTATTCATGAGTTTTTGTTAAATGGAGAGCTCATAGCACCAAGCAGCTAGCATACTTGTATAAAAATGGAATCAGTGAAATCATCATGGTAGTGAAAAGTAGTAAAAAGGCTGTTATGATCGTTAGCTTTTGTCAAATGGAGAGCTCAGAGGACAAAGTGGTTAGGTGAACAAATTATTAGGTTCTGACAGAGGAAGTCTTGCGATCAAAGTTCAGTCGTTTCCTCCTTTACAGTAAAGTATGCTTATGTGATAGTGTCAATCAATTGTTGAACAGGCATTTAAGACATACAATTATAGCTACAATTCAAATCCCAATTCTAAAAGCTTAAGTTCATTTTAGCAGTAGCTGTTGCTTTAGTATTATTCATGAGTTTTTGTCAAATGGAGAGCTCATCGCACCAAGCAGCTAGCATACTTGTATAAAAATGGAATGAGTGAAATCATCATGGTAGTGAAAAGTAGTAAAAAGGCTGTTATGATCGTTAGCTTTTGTCAAATGGAGAGCTCAGAGGACAAAGTGGTTAGGTGAACAAATTATTAGGTTCTGACAGAGGAAGTCTTGCGATCAAAGTTCAGTCATTTCCTCCTTTACAGTGACGTATGCTTATGTGATAGTGTCAATCAATTGTTGAACAGGCATTTAAGACATACAATTATAGCTACAATTCAAATCCCAATTCTAAAAGCTTAAGTTCATTGTAGCAGTAGCTATTGCATGAAGTTCAAGGTCTCATAATAAGAACACTAATTTGGGCATCTATTAAAAACAAATCTGCCAATTACCATTGTTTAAGTCTTTTGACTTCTTAACCCTTACTACATACTTTCTACCACTGTGTTACAGTAGTCATGTTTAGAACAGCTGATACACAAAGTTTAAATGCAAAAGCTTTCTTGAGCAAAATGGTACTGAGGAATTTGATTTTTACCCTCTTAAAGCTAAACAGTGATGTTAATTGTAACCCTCTTCTTCACCATGACTGACATGCATCTAATAGGTCAAATCCATTTTGGGCCACGGGTTGATTGGTAAGGCTTCCTAGTTTGTAATATTTAATATAAGTGGCTAAAATAGAATATAATAAGTCACACAAACATGTGGGTTTAAACTACTAGCTTAAAGTAATGTTCTCCAAATTTCTTCTGTTGTGTATACCTGCATGCAGTGGGTACTGATATTTTTCTCTCAAATGGTCATGGCAGAGAAAAGCAATGTTTCAGAGAATTGGAAGATATCAAGTGATCGAGATTTTATAGATATTGATAGTGATCACATGGATCCTCAACTTTGCAGCCTTTATGCTGCTGATATCTATAGCAATTTACGTGTTGCGGAGGTTTGTGCTTTATGTGCAAAAAAAGTTTGTCTTTCATTCTTTATCTACCCTTCTTTTTTTTTTTTTCTTGCATAATTTTGTTCTCTGTCAATGCAAGCACATATCTTTATACAACAAAATGTTCTAAAGCTTTTATCCATGAGGTATGCATGCTTGTCCCATTACAGCAGCATGTAAGGGTTTCAATGCCATCTGTGGAGACATTGAAAGAGGAAACATCCGCTAGCTCTCTCTCTTTTTTCCTCTCTTGGCAAGATGTTGATGTTTGCTTATGGTATATTATTTTGTTTCTGCAGCTTGTCCGAAGGTCTCCTCCTACTTTTATGGAAGCGGTGCAACGAGACATCACTCAAAGTATGAGAGGGATTTTAGTTGATTGGCTTGTCGAGGTCAGTGCAGTTTCATTGCCTGAGATTATTCTTGTTATGATGCTTTGACTTTGCAATTTATGCTGTTTGTTTGTTATTTGGATAAGAAAAGGTTGTTTGTTATACCATCGATCATGATATACTTCTATTCGTGTCTTGCAGAGATGAACATCTTTCTCACAAAAAACTATTATAATCTATTTTCAACTCAAAAATTTTAAGCTCGTTGTTATGGATAATTAAAATGTCTTCTCCTTTCCATCTAGATGAATGTTTGACTTAATCAAAAGCTCACTCAAGATCTAGTACAACATTTATTCTAGGTTTAGTCTTACTTTGTCTAACTTGTTTTTCATGGTTTTTCTAATCCATCACATTCAATGGATTAATTCTCATTCATTAGATGGTTTAGTTAGCAAAGAGAATGCTCATTTAATCAGAATTAGTAAAGGATCTTCCAAGGCATAGTTATACACGAAGGAAGACATTGTCTTGCCCTGAGGAGAATGCCTGTCCTTTTAAGTTCCAATCTATCTTTCTCTTGAATTTAATTCCTATTTTTCTTTATACCAAGCATGAAGTGACATCTCATGATCTGGAGAATTCTCCATTCAGTGAGTGAAAATTCAAAATGAAGAATCTTCTCAATCATTGGTTTTGTTCTAGTCCTTGCCTTTTCATCCTAAAACTGGGCTGTGTGATTCTTGATGATGATCCATCTAATCTTTAGGTTTTGTCCCAATTCTTGCACCAATCAAAGTGGGGTAGCCCTCTTCAGATAAACCTGGTCCTCCTTAGTATAGGTGGACTTCTATTCCAGGTTAATGCTATGACTGTAGACTGCACTATTATAACCAGCAGGCACCTTGCTCGCATCTCATATAAAAGAATCATGCCTCCTTCAATTGTTTTTCAGTTGTGTCTTTATTTTTACTAAATATCTGATATTTTATTCATGTTCCAGTTCAGTTTCTCATATTTTTTTGATTTTGTATTTTTCTAGCCTTTCTTGTGCCTTTTTTTTTTTCCTTGATGCAGTAGCTCTTGTTTTAGTTCCCAAGTCTTCCTTTAATTCTTTCCCTTTCATTTTATATTTCATGATGTCTTCTGGATCCTCCAACCATGGTTCCCACATAGGCAATCATTTTTCAAGTGTCAGCGTTTTGTTTCATAGTTTCCACTTATTTCTCTTCCTCATGGAGCAGGGAAATTCTCAATAAGGCACTTCAGGATTATTATATGTATATAAGGATGAATGTGTGTCTACTTGCATGCATGAGTGTTTAGATTCATCAACAGGTGCAATTTTGATGTCCAACTCTGTCAAACTCCAGCTAAAGTAAACTCGCATAGTCAATTCTAATTGAGGCATACTGCATATCCATGGTCTGTGCCTTGAATGTCAATGAAAACAAAGGTAGCTTTCATAATAAGATTGTGACAGAAAAAAATAAAAATGGAATAACAAATTTTTTTTTGACAAGTTATCGTTTTTTAAAGTATTTTGCTTTGTGAAATACTATAGACCATTAGAGCTCCAGATTACCTTGAACTATCCTTACAGGGAAATGAAACCAAATAGGATCAATGTAACTGTTGACTTCATAACAGCCATTAATATGTAAACGTCTGTGTATTTGACATATGCTTTTCTTTTTCCTTCAATTAGATGAAACTGAACACTCTCTTTGAAGTCAAAATATGATTGCAGAAGTTTTTAGTTTGGGCATACACTTTAGTATGTTTGGGCAAAGATTGTCTCAGAGTACAACTGTTTCTGTGGAAAAAGTATTTTGATGCTGGTCCATGTATGTTTTGTGTTCTTATTCTTTTTTTTTTTTTTTAATATATATTCATTTGAACTGTAACTATCATTCATAGTTCATTTTTGTGTTAAATGCACTTTGTGGAAACAAAGCGAAGTTTTCCACTATTATTTTAATTTCACCTTTTATAGTTTCTCGATGTACTGTAACAGTTTAAATGCCTATTATTGCAGTCTTGAACTCTTAATAGTTTTTATATGAAGTATGAATTCCAAACAAATAATTCACAGATCTGTTCGAACTTGCTTCCAGGTATCTGAAGAATATAAGTTGGTGCCAGACACACTTTACCTCACAGTATATCTCATAGATTGGTTTCTCTCTCAAAATTACATTGAAAGACACAGACTTCAACTACTCGGTATCACTTGCATGCTAATTGCTTCGTAAGTTCTCATATCTTTGGCAACGTTCATTGCACATAGAATGGCAACGATGAAATTTTTATGAAAGGTCAGGTACAACATTGCAAGTTTTTTTCCCCTTAGTTTAGGAGCTAATTGAAATAACCATTCTAGAGGGAGAATATTTTATTATTCAGAGCACATAAATTATTTGGTATTGCTTTGTGTAATTTGATGTTAAATGTATTTCTCTGTGTCCTGAAGCAAATATGAAGAGATTTGTTCGCCACATGTGGAAGAATTTTGCTTCATCACTGACAACACATACACTAGTGTAGAGGTATGTCATGGTTTGTTTGCCAAATGAGTGCATGCCAAATTACTGAAGCTGTGAGGCAAATATTATCTTCCTTTTAGTTTATGTCTTCCATGTATTCAAATGTATCGCAAGTCAGTGCTTTCTTATATTACATACCTGTGCAAGCTCTTAAAAAATGATGTGAACAATCATTTAATCCTGTTTTTGTAACTTTCTCCTTTATTTGTTTCCTAATTTGGTGGCCTTGAAGAAAAATGACAAAAAAGCAATGCAAAATCCATGTATAATATGAGTAGTCATTTTCATTTCTTTTGCTCCCTGTTGGAATATTTTTGGTTTTGGTCCTGAAAAAAATCTGGTGCAGGTGTTAGGGATGGAGACTCAAGTGTTAAACTTTTTTGGCTTTCAGATATTTGCTCCTACTGCAAAAACTTTTCTGAGGTGCTTCAGCTTATCCAGTTTTCACCATTTTATTTTTTATTGTTACAAGAAATTATTTCAGTAATGCAGTTGCTTCTGCAAATCCTTGTTTTCAGGAGATTTTTACGTGCAGCACAGGCATCCTACAAGGTAATGTGGTTGGTTTAGTTCTTACCTAAGCTTGTTTCAGAAGATACCAGCCTCTTTTAATTAAAAGGTGACATTTACATATGTAATTGTGCATTTGCAGAACCCTAGTTATGAACTGGAGTATCTGGCTGATTACCTAACAGAATTGACATTAGTTGACTACAGTTTCTTGAATTTTCTTCCTTCTGTCATTGCTGCATCATCTGTATTTCTTGCCAGATGGACGTTGGATCAAACAAGCCATCCATGGGTATGCATTCTCCTTCCTATCCTCTGTGTTTCCATATTGTTGTATATTAAGCATTTGGAGCCTGACTTTATTTGTGTGTCTGACAGAGTCCAACTCTAGAACACTATACTTCTTACAAGGCGTCGGATCTTAAAACTACAGTTCTTGCACTGCAAGATTTACAATTGAACACCAACGGGTGTCCTCTGAATGCCATACGCACGAAGTATAGGCAACCGAAGGTATAAACTAAGAATACTGCTCAAGGGACTTAGATTGCCATTTATTTTACTTCATTTTATCAAAATCTATTTATCTTTTGCCTACTTTGCATCCGCTTCAAATGTTTTTTCTTTGTGTATCAAAATCTACAAGATATCAGGTCCCATTGTAAATGCACTTGCATTGTGGTTTGGTCTCATTCCATTTTCTAATCAAGTTGTTCTCATAGCAGTTCAAATCTGTGGCGGCTTTGTCTTCTCCGAAACTGCTTGAAACACTATTCTGAAGGTAAAAAGACCGGTTCCACGTTTTTGAAAGTGGTTCTATCGTACACACATCTCAAATGAAGCTCCTGCTGGATTTTATCATTTCCTTCTTGAGATTGTACCTGATATATACTCTTATACAGTTCTGATCCTTTTTTTTTTTTCTCTGTCCCCTAAATCTGTGTATAGATTTTGATGACCTGTTATCAGGTATTGGTACTTCCAACTTGGGTCACTGTAAGGATATATCTAGTCTAAAAATAGGGCTGTCATGCTACTATGGATTCAGTATAACCATCATTTTTTTTTTTGGTCTACGAGAATTTATTTGTTAGATTGTAAATTGGGGAAGACAAGATGCAACTCTGGGAAATGTAACTTTGGCAGACTTTGACCGGGTTAAGTTAATTATTTCCTTTTGGGACTCCTCAAGTTGTCGCTTGTTAGCATGATTTCCTTGGGATGCTTTTGTTGTCTATCTGTGGTTGTTACTTCTGGACTTGTTAGACGTCTTTTACTTTAAATCAGAAAATGCTAACCAGAGAGGACCGCAATTGCCTTGCTGAAATTTTTCTATGGATATAATGATATTTTGTTACTTATGACCCCACTTTCCTTTCAATGTCTTCTTGATTCGTACAAAGTGTTGGTTGCTTCGCAGAAAGCAGGCCCTCTGTTGGCTTAAAAACGCATTTCATTGTTACTAGCGAAGAACTGAAAAATCAAAACTCACTGTGTTGGTTTTTTGACATGAATGGAATTATGTGAAATTTAAGAGCATTTAACTTATGTATATTCGTGAAAAAGAGTCCATTATGTGTAGCATCACTCAAATAATCCTCACATATCCCTTCTCACCACCAGTCATATAATGCGTTCCCTTAATTTACAAGAAGCGTTACCAGAAACAAGGAATTGAAACCAGCAAGTTCACGATCTAAATAAACTAACAGGCTCATATGCGTAGCCAACAAGATATTCAATATAGTCCTTCAATGAAATGAATTAAACCAAAAGCACCATACAAATTTTCCGACCGAAAACTAAACATTAGCAACGGCACGGGCCATAGAGGAGCATTGACTCACCACAAAAGTGCTGCAATCTCATTTTAAAGGAAAGAACTTCAAAGAAATTACGCCACAGCTCTCCTAAAAGTTACAGTTTCTCTCTTCAGATGATATATTCCGCTCAATACTTAGCTGTGCATAAAGGAGAGTAAACCAACAAACTAAAGTGCAGCAAATTCTCATCTCCCAGGCTGCCAATACACTGCAATCAGGTCTGAGAGAAACATCTTCTAAAGGAGAGTACTGGCCTCTGTTCTTTACACTTTATGGGGATTCTCAACACCAAATTATAATGAGACAACACACCTTGTACATAAACAGCCGACTCCATTGAAGAAGAAAATTTCAACTTAAAAAGTTCAAATAAAATGGAGAAGCTTAAGCCAACAGTAATGGGTAATGGACAATCTCATGACAAATAAATGATTAAGCATTCAAACAACTAGACCTTACATTGTGTGAAGCAATGGATAGTCCATTTACTACCACGAGAAATATTGGTTTCCATTTCCTACCCCTAGAAATACTAGTTTTCCTGTAAGCAGTAGCTGTCATGTTTTGGCAGATTTAACACTAAAAATGAAAGAGAAGGTTATCTAGGGCATATTATAAAAGTTCCAAGGCAGCGATGACTTCACCAATAATCTCCACAAGAACACTTGCCATCCTTGAAATGATGAAACCTTTTGTTGTCCCTAACTATTAACTCCCTCCCAACAATCTTTGACATGATCTTGATGGCATTGTGACAGTCCCCGCACACACGGAGGTTCTTGATTATCCTCAAGGGTATCCTGGGTGGAGTGCTAATAAGACCATATGCAATTGCCAACCGCTCACTGTGATACAGCAAGGCTTGCTCTTTGGCCTCCTGATCAATGTCATGAAGAACATATCTAGTATCAGGAACATAGCCACCCGTTTTCATCTCACGCAATTGCTTTAATTTCTCATCATCCTTGTAAAGCGTAGGATTCCTAAACTCAGTAATTCTGTTCTTTCCTTCAAGCATGCTGATCAGATTATACTTCTTCAGTGACGGAGTTGGGATTTTACTGGCAACAGCCTTTGATGGATCAATAGAAACGATCAATTCCTCAGTGTGGTCTTCAAGATCAATGTCTCCATGACTTCGAGCATACTTCCTCACTGCCTCCCAAATTTCCACTGTGGGTTCAAATGGAAGTTTCTCAATATACTCCACAGCTTCATTAAGATAAGCAGACTTTCCGAGAACATCTATAACCCCCAAATAATGCTCAAGTGTTGGACTAATTCCAAACTTCTTGCTCATCTCCTCAAAATATAAAAACCCTTCCTCCACTGCCTCGGCACTCGCACAAGCAGACAAAACAGCAAGAAATGTTTCCCCGGTGGGTTCCAACCCCAACTTCTTCATCTGCTCAAACAGCTGCAATCCCTCATCTCCCAGGTCATTATTTGCATACCCATTTATCATCAAATGCCACGAATCCATATTCCTGTCAGGCATATGATCAAAAACTCTCCTTGCATCCGTAATACTTCCACATTTCTCATACATCTTAATCACGTTATTGTTCAACTTAACATCACCCCTGAAGGTAGACTGCAAAAAATAATCATGAACCTTCTTTGCAACCTCATGTTCGGTGCACTTCTCAAACAAACTATAAAAACAATCAGCATCAGCTTTAACCCCATTATCCATCAATTCGATAGCTCGCTTAACGTTACCCTCTTGACACAAACGCGCCAAGTCATGAACCGAAGGAGGCGGAGCCGGAGCTGGAGCATTAGCATGAGCATGAGCACTAGCATTAACATTCATATTATGTGGTCGACTGTCGGTACCCACACGTGAGGCCCACAGATCAGTGTTTCTCTGTTGTGGATATCCCTGAGTTCGGTTGTCCCCTCGATTTGGGCTTCCGGTTTGCCCATAATCCCCCCGGACATTAGGGCTAGCCTGACCAGGGTTTTGGTACTGAGAATAATTTTGATCCCATTGATTATTCTGCTGAGGATAATTTTGATTCCATTGATTAGGGTTTTGGTGCTGCTGGTGCTGAGGTGGTTGTTGTTGAGGATATCCTTGGTTAGGATAGGCATATCCTTGATTGGGGTATCCCCTGTTTGGATAATTTTGATAATTAAGCTGGTTTGGAAGATGGTATTGCTGATTTTGGCTGCGTTGATTGTGATTGAAGTTTCCAGGTTGTGGGGTCGACTGTTGAGGAGGAGGAGGAGGAGGATTTATCTGGGTTCTTGAGTTCCATTGGGCATCATTTCGATAAAAACTTTGATCAGAAGGATGAGAGGATGGTGATCGTGACGGCGGTTGTGTTTGATAGTCATTTGGTATTGCTGAAGTAGAGAGGGTTTTAGGAAGGATAAGGGTTTTGTTATTGAAAGTCAAGTGTTGAATAGAGCGTACCTTAAAGAGTGGAAAAAGTATCACTGGTGCCTGAGAACGACGGATTGCCATGGAAGACGCCATCTTCTTCGATTTATTTCAGTGAAGTGAGAAGACAAAACCCTTGTCTTTCTTTGCTTAGAACCCTTGTCTTTCTTCGATTGCCATGGACACCGGTTTTTTGTGGGCTCTTTGTTTTGGGCTCTTTTTCGAGCTTATCATTTATAAACTTGTTTGTGGAGAAGTGAAGTAGGTGTCTCAGACTGATTTATAGTAAACGACATGTCACGACTACCCCCATTACCTTAAACGACAAGATTTTTAATAGAGGTATAACGACTAACAAGTCTTGGTTATTTTTATTTCAAAGTTTAACCAAGCAAAACACATGGAACAAATTTTACCATTTGTTAGTTAGTAATGATGTCACAGGACGATAATCGTTGAAATAATTAAATGATATCGTATGTTGATTAATATCCGTTAAGTTAAATATTTTAGTACAATTTTATAAATGAAGAGAAGAAATATATAAAATAAAAAAATTAATAAAGAAAAAACATTACGAAAGAGAGAAACTTGGGAGCATATATAAAAGTAGTGTTAATCAAGTATTCTACTAACCTATTTCATGATTTGCTTAATTTTCTAATTAAATAATAATCAATTGAGTTAGTGAAAATATAATATTTTCTAACTATAAAAATTAATCTAAACACGATGAGTTTTGAAAAAATAAAAATAAAAAGAATGCTTCTTCCTTAATTTCTACCGCATGTCAATTTGGTAAATTTTTATAGGAAACAGGTAGATTTGGTAAATAACAATCAATTTGGTTATCAGGTATCTTTCTATAAAATTAACGGTGGAGATATTTCTTTTAAAATCCAATAAACGGTCAAAAACATAAGCAAATGCAGGTCATGATACTACGTGCAGTCTCCCAGTCATCGTGCTCTCTCTCTCTCTCTCTCTCGAGATTTTAGAGGGATTTCTCTTGTTTTCTAGGGTTTTTGGATCTGCAAACTCCTTTCAAAAATTGGAGCTAAACACAGACAGGAAAACTGCCAGCCATGCCCCGGTAACAACCTCCGTTCTCTTCTTCTTCTTCTTCTTCTTCTTTGATACTTTCTATCGATCTTCTTGTCGTCTAACAGAAGAATTATTGAATTTGCAGGTATTACTGTGATTATTGTGACACTTATTTGACTCATGATTCTGTAAGTTCTCTCTCTCTGCTTTTTTTTTTCCATTTCTCTTCTTTATTTATGTTTTTCTAGACCCTAAACAAGCACTTTTTGGATCAATTCACAGCTTTAGTGGATTGAACCAACTCAAGTTTCTACCATCTTCTATCTAAGGGGAAAATCTGCTTCTTTCTTTAATTTTAAACATTATCATCTCTTTCTTGGGTTTTTAGTGTGGCAAACAGATAAGGAATGCTTGTTTTATTCAACTGTTTTTGTTTGTGGCATTTTCAATTGTCTGTAAATCCTGTCTAACTTGCTCTACTTTTCCATATTTCAGCCATCTGTTAGAAAACAGCACAATGCCGGTTATAAACACAAGGTACTTTTCATTTTTTGTTTTATTAATTTATATATTTCTCGAGCCGTTATTTTATTTTAATTATGTTCTTAAATACTTTAGGCAAATGTGAGACTCTATTATCAGCAGTTTGAGGAGCAGCAAACCCAAAGTATAATTGACCAAAGAATAAAGGAACATCTTGGCCAAGCTGCAGCTTTCCAACAGGTTGGTGCCGCATACAATCAGCATCTAATGGGTCAGAGACCCCGCCTTCCTGTTCTTCCAACTCCCGTTATGCCCATTGCAGGAAATAATGCACCTTTACACCCTGGGTTCAGGCCTCCTGTTTTGCCAAGACCAATGCCTGGTGCTCCAGGTAAACTGCATCCACATGCAACCATCTCCCTGTGTATACACCTTTGTGTTGCATGGAAAAACTAGTTTTTTCCGTTCTTGATTCAATTAATTAGCTTCCATTTCTTAGAGGGGTGGGATGTTGGTCTTAGTAAGTTTAGAAATGGTCGCACCTTCAAATTTACAGGCTTAGTTTCTCCTTGGTCATTTTATGGCAATCTATTATTTGACACTGATTGTGTATGATATTGAATCTTTGTTACATGCTATTTGGCAGGGTCAGGTTATATGCAACATCAAGTAATGCCACCAATGATGGCGCCCCCTGGTGCTCCTTCCTTACCTGGTCAAATGAATGGTGTTCCAAGGCCTCCAGTGATGGCACAGCCAACTGTTCCTGGGAGTACTGCAGCGCCTACTCCCCCTAGTGGTGCCCCCTCTATGGTTCCACCTGCTACTTACCAAGCAAATCAAGCAGCAACAACAAGTGGAGGCTATGACAGCTTCAATGTGAATGCCTCAGCCCCTGAAGCCAATCATTAGTCTGAATCAAGCTGGTATGTGTTGCTTTAACACTTTATGGTGTATGGAATTCGAGTAGCCTTATACGTCTTCTGCTTGACGTTTCTTAATTATTAATGATTGTAGTTATTTTGCATAATAAAATTTAGAATCAAAGTTTAAAAGTGAGTTTCAATGGTCCGTGGGGAGCTGGAAGCGTCATGCGCACATTTGGTTTGCTAAAGAATTGTGAATGGAATGAGAGTCTATTTCCTTTTATTGTATAGGATCATTTGGTTCATCAATAATAATAAGAATGTCTTAAGAAATGAGATTTTGTCTTCCTAAATAAAATTTCCTCCATCACGTTTTAGATTTGTGTCTATTGCAAATGTATTTAATTTGAAATAAAGTTGAAACATTAATCCTTTTTGGAACTGGAATCAGAACAATATTTCCTGGGGTGTTAGTTTTACCAATGCCAGTTAAACAATTAGATTTGCATTCAGGTGGATCTCTGTCATTGTTTTATTCAAATCCGATGGTTTAAGTGGCATCAGTAAAGTCATTATAGACTCAACATATTTCCTTTCTATACCGTCTTGTGCAAACCAGTCATGGGAAATATGGGTTTCTTTGATTTTATTGAAAACTTTTTTTTCAATCCGATGGTTTAAGTGGCATCAGTAAAGTCATTATAGACTCAACATATTTCCTTTCTATCCCGTCTTGTGCAAACCAGTCATGGGAAATATGGGTTTATTTGATTTGATTGAAAACTTTTTTTTTCTTGTTTGGTCTAATTGATCAATCAACTACCACGATAGTTCTTTCTTTTAACCTTCGTGTTTTTTTCCCTCTAAAAATCCCATATCACTACTAAATCTAGCATTTTTTGATTGATTTCTGGTCCATCTAGTTTCGTACTCAATTTTGATGGGAATTTTTTTGATACAGGCGATGAGAAGAAATCAGCAGTGCCGCTTCCCATTGCATTGCCTTTCTTGAATGTGAGTTAATGTGGTGCTCAATACAAAATAGTTTGTTACTTCATTTTGGTAAACATTAACTATCATGTAAAGACAACCAAAAATCAACTGAAAAGAACTGCTTTTCTCTGAATTTCATTTGACGTGATTCACCTTCTGTGGGTTGAGTAATGATTGAATTACAGTGATTCTGTTGGCATCTTCCACTGTGGAGCTTAGTTTTCTGGTTTGCTTTAGTTAGTTCCACACGCTTCTAATTCATGCTACTTTGTGTCTGGTGCATGCCTGTAAGTTTGCAGATCTCATTGTGAGGACATTGCATCTTCGTACTACCAGGGACCATAAGCTAGATAGGCTCCACAAGCCAGTGTAGTTGAGTTTTTGAAGACAGCGTTCCTAATGCTTGATGTAGCCACTTTCTCTGTTATTTTTATTTATTTATTTTTGTTGGGTGCTGCAGTGAACTATTATATCGCAGATTGGATGTTATCGTTTTTGCGAGCTAGGTTATACCATGACTTTGTTGCAAATTTTCTTTAGATGGTCTCTTATGTTACAGGGCTGTTTTTGGAAACATGTCCTGGTGGTTTTGAATGCAGCTTTGGGAGTGTCTGCACCACTCTGAAGTAGCAATGTTAAACCCATCTTTCTATACTTCTAACTGCCTGTTCATAAAAAAGAAAAAGAAACGGAAAAAAAAACTAAATGCAATCCTCTGGGTGAAGAAACATATGTCATAAAAATGATAATATCTTCAGCCATGGAATAACTTTAGCTATCATCCCATGCTTGGCAGCCTGTAAAAATAAGATGTTTCACATAATGAGGTAGACTGAGACTGCAGCTTTATGATAAGTTTGAAGGGTGTTGAATCAAATAAGCATACGCGTAGGAATTATTGAATGTGCAAGCATCTTTAAAGCCAGTGATTGGAATTTTCTCTGAACGAAACGATGGAAGCCCGTAAAAAGGATGTTCGTAACTTTTTAAATACTAGGTGCATCAATAGACATGAACTTGGTGGATTATAAGGTTTCCTGTAAATGTAATCATGACCATAACCATAATTTTAAATAACATTCGTTACATAGTATAATGGTTGTTATATAACCGTATCGAAATATTTTGTTGTTATTTAGTGTTATGGGTGTTTGTTGTCGGTTTCACTATGTGAAATAATGATGTTATTGTTATATAATGTCTGTTATTTGTCATTTTATAATGGTTTTATATTAAAAAAAAAACTCACTTTTTGCAAGTTTGTAGCTATCTTGTGATTTGGTTCCTTTTTTTTTTTTTTTTTCAGTCTTTTATCTCTATCAACATCACCTTTTGTAGAATTTCATATGCTGAAAATATAAAATAAAAGAATCAAAGAGAAGAAGAGACCAGGGTGAGAATCCTTTGTGGGGAAGAAGAAGAAGAAGAAGAAGAGATAGGGAGGGAGGCGTTTTTAGGTAAGAAGAGGAGACTGGGAGAGAAGGGGGCAGAAAAAGATGCTAGGTTTGGGTATGACAGATAAGCCTTTTACTTAAATCTGGAGATTATTTTTGAGTCATATTATATAATTGGGTCCATAATAAATAAATAACTGATACAGTTCTTATTAGGCTTATTTTTTTTATTTAAGTGATAATTAGTTTTAGTTTTAGAATTATATTTTTACCTTATTTACTTTGTATAATTTAAAAAATTAAAAATTTTAATAATGTTTTTTTATTGCAAAAAAAAAAAAAGTATATTATAAATCAAAATTTCCCCACTCTAACAACCAATAAATAAATTATAATTTTATTAAAACAATTTTTGAATAACAATATAAAACTTAGGTTAAGTTAAAATTTAATTTTAACTAATGCAATTATATATATATATAACTAAAAAAAAATGCTATTATTATGTTTGTTTAATAAAAATATCAAATTGATGCGGATTTTAAAATTTGTTAGTCAATTAAAAGATTTATAATAACACAAGATTTATACTAACACTAATATTCACGAGCATTATTACAATTGCAATTATTATTTAAAACTATGAACATGACCTGATCGAGCAATGATGCTATAAGAGCTTTAGAAGGATTGTACTATGTTATATGAAAAATTGGATTAAAGGTCTACGATGAACACTGTTTTATTTATCATAATTATATCTCTTTACTAATTTTCTTTCAATAGTCATGTCTATCTATATTTAATTTGTGTCTTAATTTTGTCTCTCCAACCAACTTTTTTGGTAACTGCATCGATTTTTTACGACAGACTCAAATGATGCTAACAAGTGAGATTCAAAAAAAAAAAAAAAATGAAAAAAAAAATCCTAAAAAAATAATAAAAAAAACCCTCAAAATGTCCTTCTTTTTCTCTACCTTTAGATATAGAAATAAATAATTAATTTCATCTATCAAATTTTTTTTTTTTGCTTTCTCTTAAATTCTGGAAAAGAAATTTAAAAATCCTGAAATTTCCTTTTTTTTTATTTGTTTTTTTCTTTTATTCTTATGTTATGAAAAAAATTCATAATGTTTTTTCCTTTTTTGGGTTTGGATTTGAAATAAATAAAATTTTACTTCTTTTCTTTTCTTCTTTTTATCTGGTTTTTGCTTTTATTCTTATATTATGAAAAAATTTCATAAATTTTTTTTGGATTTAGATTTGAAATAAATAAAAAAAATTTGCTTCTGTTTTTTTTCTGTATATAAAAAAATTTCTTTTTTGGTTTGATTTTGAGAGAAAAAAAGAAAAAATTGAGGGATTAAATTAATTATATATTTCTATACATAAAGGTAGAGAAAAAAAGAAGCATTTTGGAATTTTTTATTCTTTTAGATTTTGTTAAATGTCACGTGTTAACATTTTGTGAGTTTGTTGTTAAAAATTAATATAGTTATTAAAAAATTTAATCTAAGAGATGAAATTAAGACTCAAATTAAAAATAAAAGGATAAAATTATTTAAAAAATAATAAAAAAATATGATTAAAATAAATAAAACAGTAGAGAGATATGCAGGATCTTAAACCCATAAAAAATTAAATTAAATACGGACTGGATTAGTTGTTGAAGTAAATGGCCATTGCACAGATGACGTGTCGTTGAAGAGAGACGCAAGCGGGAGTCGTTGAATGTAGATGTAGTCGCAGATAAGTGGGAAAAAAAACGTATGGGCTTTGTAATTAGTGATACTCGAAGATTGACACGTTATCTGAGTCCGCAGCTTTTTAGAGGAGAGAGAGAAGAGTAGAGAAAGAGAGAAGCAGAGAAAATGGCGGCTTTCAATATTTTATCAATTTCCACCACTGCCTTCTCTTCTCTTTCCTCTTCTCCCTCTTCTTCTTTTTGTAATTCTACTCATTATTATTTTAACGATGACTATTTTAATAATAATTATTACAATTATAAGAAATTTCCTTGTGTTTATCAATTCTCTCCTGTCTCTTCCCCGTCCAAATCAAAATCACCATCTTCATCATCTTGTAAAAGAGATCTCTCTCAAATGCCTACCTATTTCTCTAAATCAGGTTCATTTTCATTTCTGTACTTGATAATTTAATACTGTTATATTCATAATATCAATATTGGGCTGGAAACTGAATTTTTTTTTTGTGAAACAATGATCTCGTGTCCACTGTGTTAATGGGTTTTAAGAGACTTATGCTTATTTTGGGTTTTATTAGTATGCTTATATGCTTCCCGGAATTATTATTTAATTAAATGCAGACTTTCGTTTAAATTAGCCATCTCCTTTTGATAAATTTATCAGTAGGAGTTTTTTTTTTTAAATGATTTCCGGTGTAAAACTAAACTGATTTAGGAGAGGAATTCATGGCTGTCTTTAAGGAGTGATTGCTTCTGCTTGGTTTGCAGAAATTTAGCACGAATGGATAAGGTCAAGGTTGCAAAATAGATAGCGTTACTGCATTTTCTGGTCTTGGGTCTCTTTAAACTCTGCAAGGATTTCAATCCAGTAGCATTCTCAAAAAGGAAATATGACATGAAATATTTGCATATCCTATGTGATTGGCTGATACTATCTATGCATTTGAGTGGTCA